GCCATCGGACATCACTCTGAAATTTAACGACTGAGTTAGATTGTATTTACTTTTATCCTTCTCATTAATAGCACAAATAGACGCTGTAGACCAATTCAAAATACTTGTCACTGTTGTAAATATTCACATATCAATTACTCATCTTCTCAAGAGCTACTCAATGAGAAATATGTGGCCCTGCGCAAAAGTGGACAATTTTGTGTATAATTAAAAGATACATATCGATTAGGTTGATCTCGCTCTTTCTGAGGTATCCTAAAGTCTACGAGTTCTACAGTTCTGATCAATACATAAGATTCTTTCTTGACGATTCTTCGATCTTTCATTTTCACGATTCTTCAAAAACGCTGTTAACCAAATAATACTGGGTCTAATCTTTCTTGCTCTTCTGATCAATGAGTATTCAATCCTTTTCACGCTGTTCAAACTCCAGTACGGTAGTGGGGACAAACGGGCAAAAACGCTGGTGAACCGGTGGTTTTGGCGTGCCCGCCAAGGCGGACCGTAACCTCTTTCTAATCCCCAAAGCGTCCCCGGGCTAGTGCGCACCTACACCGCACACCTCTATCCATGCCAAATGGCTACATCAATGCAAAAACTATTGAGGCTTCGAAGTTTCGCTCAAGTCTTGAATGATAGAGCATTACTGATACGAATCCAACAGAAGCCCCAAGGAAAAATTTCGAATTAGGCTCGGAAAAGTCTTCAATATCCCGCTGCCGAATCCCTAAATCTAGTAGGGCCCAGATCCTTCTTTTAAAAAACTGTATCAGTACCAGGCCAAAGTGTTACTAAAAACAACCATGAATTTGGTTGGGAAAGGTCTTGCAACACTACAAAAAATTGGATAGATATCTTTACAAGGCCAGACCATCTAAACAAGATGACTGCCATAATCAAGGACACAAGCCTACTTATCATCATCAAGAACACGTGCTCATTTCAAGGCAGCTTCTCGATCCTTCTATTCTAGGACTGTGACCGCTGTGACGAGAACCGATCCGACCGATGTGGCCGATCTCGTTTTTGAGTTGAAGGACCATCACCTTTCTTGCCCTCAGATGACGCTTGAATGCTTCGAGTGGATAACACTAATCGTAAGTGTTCACCATGAGAACGGTGAATGAGCTGGATGCGGTAGCCTGTTTAAGCAAGTTCCGTAATCTCTCGACTTGTCTTCGGGAAGATGTGGGCGTTACTCTCTACTTACTCTCTATTCTATATCTTAGCGGTCTGTTTATTCCATTAGCTGCCTTTCACTCACTATTTTGTGGAAGGACAGACAGACAAACATACATACAAGCAAAACCGAGCACGCCGGGGACCAAAGGTTACTTAACTATGATGAAGTGATCCTGGTTTGGAAAGATAAGATGTGAATTCAACCGGAATCGCTGCAGAGCTGTATGGGGAGTTATAGGCGATCAAACTTCCCCCTACGACGAAAATCCCTTCGAATTTCTTTGTTCTCAGCGATATAGTTTCTTCATTTTCAGTGTGGGTTTACTCACCTACATACATACATTGAATGTAGGCCCTTTATCAGGACAATCCCAGTGGGGAGACAGAGGAAAAATTAGAATATTATAACTCCAGAGAAGCTATTTTCGTCGAGCCCCTCCCCCGTCCCCAACTCCTGGGGAGGTTGGATCCGGCCTGAACGAGATCCTCGTGTCCCAAATGATACATCGTGGACCCAAGTGAAGCAAAACCCGTTCTTAAAATCCACTCTCAGGACGTAAGCCACAGCTGCTTTAGCGGAGTGACCCAGCAGAAGGTAGTAGTAGGTACAGTCCACATCTCGAAGTCTGATTAGGCGTGTCACCGGAAATGACGTGGCAGCCACCACACTTGATAGAGACTTGGAGGCGACCGGATAAGCTGCTTTGCTGATATTAGGCGGGGTATTTTTTCCACACGACATCTATCAAGGTGCGGTGGCCGCCACGTCATTTCCAGTGACACCCCCAATCAGACTTCGAAGTATGAATGTAACATCGAGAGATGGTTTGATCCGTTGGAGAGTTTACACCTCAAATTTCACGAAAGGGGGCTCTGTTATCGACAGTTACGAACTCTTGCAACACTACCACTGTACCGAGACGCGGCGTCGCCGAACTTTCAAAGAAGATTTTGCTTCTCTTCGAAAAAATTGTTCAAGTTGTTACAAGAAGTTCTTTCTCACCTAATACATGAGGAAATATCAAAGCGTACTTTTGAGAGAATCACTTTTCAGCAACCTCCTCTCGGTCAGAAGGCACACTGTGAAAAATATAATCCACTTCCGCTGTTGACTACAGCGGGTGGCCAAAAAAGAAGACATCTTTGCCCGTGGCGCACCATACATCGAACTTTTCGTCGCACAGGGTGCCGATGTTAATGAAAGTTTTACGGTGAAATATTCTAGAGGTGTTTCCCCCGTAAGCAGAAGCAGGCCCTCCTTCACTGTCCCCGCCGTCTTTAGAATATGACGTCATCTGCCGCCACCGTCGAGCTCAACGAGGCTTACCGTAATCGCTCCGGCCTGAAGCTGCTTCATAATTTCTTCAATAGATTAACTGCTGAATAGCTTCCTAGAGACATTAGCTGTGACTATGCAAAACCACTTTTGACCAGCATTTCACGGAACGTCGTAATGGTCTATGGTACCTCGTCGACCCCGTTGAGCTCATACTGTGAACCATGTTTCCGTGTGAAAATCTTCTGAATGTCGTACTGCGATTCTCATTTTCCACCACCGCCACACATAGAAAAATTATCGATGACTCTGAATGCATTGCACCTTATGGCCAAGCGCGCCCCGTGGAGACGCCTCGTGGAGACGCACTATCGTCAATGTGTCAAGGGATTCACTAGAATGAAGAGCTTCGAGAGACTGCTGCCCCTTTCATTTATTTATTAATTTACTATTGTAGTATCCGGATGATCTCCCTTTTTGCGAAATTCGAAAACCATCGCGGCATAAATTTGCGAGCCTTTTTAGCACACTGATAGCCTTCAATATGAGGCGACACAGCGCAAACGAGTGCGCCAAACAACAGCCTAATAAAAAGAAAAGTCTTAGCAGGCTGCCGCAGCTTTAGCAGAGCCTACGCGCTCGTTGTCGGTGATTCTACGCTACGGGAATACCACAATCTGTGATTGCGCTATAGGGCATCGTACCTACAGAACAGAAGGGAATCATTCGCCTACGACTCTGCCTAGATTTGTGCGCTTTAAGCCGCAGTACGTCTGGCTCCCTGCCATTTCCCGAGCTTACCACTCCAAATCTCGAAGTCTGATTGGGCGTGTCACCGGAAATGACGTGGCAGCCACCGCACTTGATAGAAATTGCGCGGATAAGCTGCTTCCAGCATGCTTCGCTGATATCTGGCGGAGTATCTTATCCACGTGGCATCTAGCAAGTGCGATGGCTGCCACGTCATTTCCGGTGACACGCCCAATCAGAGTTCGAGATACCGACTGTACTCAGCCATCACTTCACGATATAGATCAAAAATGTAGGTAGACCACCTAGCATCATTCACAACAGTAGGTCTGCCAAAGTCCAACTACTCGTCACATAGAAATGTATCGGGTTTTACTGTAGTATCGAAAATCATTTCTAACGATAGGACTCGGACTTGAGGTGAGAAACTAAAGGTAGAATGTACGTAATACTGTTCGCAATCTCCTGGATTTTTTCCGTATCCATGGAAGCCAAGGAATTAATCTGGAAATGTACTGTTCTAATACAAATCGCAACCAGACTAACCCTTCTATCTTCTCACTAGCATCTTCTGAATTATCGATCACAAAAGCTTGCTTGGTCCACGAACGCAAATTTGATTCCTTATTGCCTACCGGGAAAATTCGCCAATTAGCAGCAATTTGCGTACCGCCTAATGCCACGTCGGTCGAATTTTCCAGCCTTACGCGAGTCCATGCTCCCCCAAGTACGCTACGCCGAACTTCTGAAAAAGGGATCAGTTTGATTAGCTAGAAAACCCACCCCACTTTCCACGGTCATAGCAATTACGTATCTATCCGTATCCAGAATCGTACTTATAAACAGCGGGCGAATATTGCTGGCAACGCCCGAAAAGCAGACTCTTCAGTGCAAAAAAAAAACATATAATGTAAAGTTGATGTTCAAGAAGTCTTAATCTGTTTCAGAAAACCAGAAGCGCTCTGAGTGCAGACCACACTTCACGAGAGACAACGTCCTCCACAACATGTAAATGTTTTCTGCCGATGCGAAACCGGGTCAGCCGAGACTGACCAAGGCTTAGTTTTAAGATCATCGTAATTTGCTGGTGTTGCGGTCTGCAGCCTTCGACCGCTTCTGGTTTCCCTGAAACAGAGGGTGTCTCCTGCCCACGCGCGGTGTGATACTGTCATTTTTCCGGTGGGCTTAGAAATTTAGTGTGTGGAATTTTTGTATTGATATAGATCTAAATAGCGCTTCAAACTAAGTAGTAATCGGACTATTTGTTTAAATACAAATGACTTGGGCTAACCCTTGGTTTACACGTCCAATTATACTTGGCTCAGTCTATACTGTGGAATGACACAATGGAGTTGGCAGTACATATTTATATAACAAAAGCCATTTATGCTAACAAATTATAACACTAATCTCAATAAGCGTGTGAGCCTCGACAGGCCTGTCATCGGTGTGAGGAACAATAGGGACAGTCCCATTTCCTTCTTCTCAACCTTGTGCTCCGAGCTTGGTTCAGTGGGGTTGGTCTCCGGCTGGGGCTCCAGGATCTGGACTTGATCGGGAAGAGCGTTCTTGGGTCCCATCTGGCCGCGGGGATCATGAGGAAGCATAATCTTGACTTTTGATTCACGAATAACTCCTAAATAAATACCTTGTCACCAGAGCAAATTCACCAGAAGCACCAGGAAAGAGCAAAACGCAAATGGAAAGAGTCTAGGCGACGTTTACCATGCAGCGCAGTATCAAGAATAAACTACCACCACTCTTTGCAAATCGCCCTTCCACCTTGGCGGAGCTGAACATGTCGCACGGCTTGTTGGATATAGTCATTAACTGGGTGTCCAGAGTGAATCATGAGACCATCGACGAACTTCATAGCCTTAGCACGTTGACCGCGCAGCTTTCCAGAAACGATGACCTGAACAACGCCGTTAATTGGAGACAAAAATGGGATATTGGGAAGAAGTGCAATTAACTTGTAAGTGAATCATGAAACCGGCACAATCAAACTAACTGCCCGGCGATTAAAACACTAGATACTTTTGCCATCAGGGGATTAGGTCTAACAGTCAAATAATAAGAGTTAGCCTTGCCCAGACCCTGTGGCGCATGAAACTGAATACTGAGAAAATTTACTCGCCTCACAGCGCCCACTGAGCTTGCTGATTCCATAATGAAAAGAAGAAAACACCATAACAGCACGGACGGACCGCAGAGCGCGGCCCGCGGCCCTCCGCGCCCGCCGCCCCGGCCGCTTGCCAACGAGTTTGTAGCGAAGGGACTCGCATTGGGCAACGGCGCAAAGACCACGGTTGGAGACTTTCTCTGCATAGAGCTGAAAGATTATAAGAGATAACTTTCAAAAACAAATCACTGGTATGACATATAGTGTTACAGAAAAAAAAACAACGATTGTTAGCTCTCTGAACGGAACTTAATGGATGAAGCCTTCGGTATCGTCATCCCTACACATTAAGAAATTGAAATTGAACGTAGTTCAGCGAGACTAGGCCTCTAAAATGAACGCTTCCTAGTCAAGAAATTCGGTCAATAAGGGTGGAAAATTTGGTCAAGGGAAAAGACCTCGCGAAAATCGCTTTATTTCGCGATAAATGTCACCAACGCTCCAGAGACAGAAATTGTGAGGGTAGGACCGCTCTCACATCGTTTCACAGGGCATTTTGTTTGGTCAACTCTTATTTTGAGGACAATTGATTTCAACACTATTTTTTTTTCTCTTTTTTTACTTCGATTTCTAGGCCATGTCATTCATTTCCAACCAAGTTCTCCGTTTCCACGTTTAGTCGAATTCTTTTTCCTTCTGATAATTTTTATCGCTGGAAAGTGTGAAGAAACAAAGAACAGTTGTGGTAAGGGCGAATGAGGATTTTACAGGGTGGGCAAAAATTACGGTAACAAGAGCGCTAACCAAACATCTCGATTTCCTTCGAACCTAATAAATGCACCTGGTTGAAGAGACCCCGGAGAGAAATCACTAGACACAACAGCAAGGTAGACCGCTTGTGCACAAAGCAAATATTGTGCAACATTGGTTTTGCAGAATTTTCCGAATTCATGCCATTGAACGAGGGGCCACCTTATTTTCCCGTGTTAAAGCAAGTGGGTTATTTTCCGTGGAGTCTACTGAAGACGATGGGCTACTACGAGTATCACTAAAGCATCGACGAATTAAAGAAGATCCTAGGGTAAGCTCGATGTCACCTACCTACACAACAGGCCATATGCGTTCCCGAGATGACTTCATTCAGGTATAAACGCAAACAGCGGCCAGTCCAAGAAGTGATGTTGTATTCTGTCTGGTGACCTCCTATGAATACATTGTTGGGGTCCACGTGTGTCTTGCTGGCCGAATTGCTCTTCCATGAACACTTTATCCTGTTACCGTAATTTTTGCCCACCCTGTATAATATGAGTCCACCCCCGCCAAGTCCCTTCCCGTCCAAGTCCTTTCTTCTGGTTCACAAGGGTGATTTTGGTGAGCGGGGGGGGTGGTGGTGGTGGCGAGGAAAGTAATTTATTCGACCACCGCGAAAGCCCTCTCTCGCCCATATCTTCATCGCCAGGCACACAAATGTTTCTTCACAGTGTTCCCCAACTTTCTTATTGACAATTTCACATTGTTTCGCGGCGAGGAAAGTAATTTATTCGACCACCGCGAAGCCCTCTCTCGCCCATATCTTCATCGCCAGGCACACAAATTGTTTCTTCACCAGTGTTCCCTAACTTTTCTAATTGAACAATTTCACATTGTTTCGCAAATATGGCGTGTTTATTCGCGCAGGCGACCATCTCTCAAGCAATGCCTAAGGAAGAGAATGAATTAGAAAAGAACGCTGTGGAGTGATCATTTCATTGAAGCCATCTGAAAGTGGCAACGAGCTCATGAATCGAGATTTTACCTGCTGCGGAAAACTATGCTGAACGTTATCCTTCAAAATTAGTTATGAATTATTACCTCTAAATTGAGACATGAAGAAAATTTTTTCGCTTGTGAACTTGTTTGTCATGAATTAAGAATGTCTTCACTGTTACCTAACCCACACCATTCCGCAACAAATGGCAAAAGTATGAAAAACATGCTGCATACCGTGACCCGCAAAATCGTGTTGTTCCACTATATTAGTTTTTCGAGCCCACATGGACATGTAAAAAGATGCGCAATCAACGTGATCACTTGAGGTGCGCAGTGAGCACCAATTCTCCGCTCCAGATTGCATGTGCTTCAATGCTGCATTGATACAAACCAATTGCGTTTGATAAAATTTATTGAAGCAGATTCGCATCTGAAGCATACCCGAAATTCTGAGGTCAAATCCTCTCACCTCGTTCACAAAATTAATTTCTCAAAAAATCTCTGATACTGGGTTGCAAGCATTGGAGCATACGATGAAATATAATCAAGTACAAAAAGTCTAATACTGCGAAAATAAGGTCTTGAAACCCTCGTTTTTGCTGACAGACCCCATTCAAGCACTTGAAACATGTATAGATCAAAGGCACTTTCAGTGTTGCGACTCGAAGAGAATAAGCGAAAAAGGGTAACACGTATCGAATCATTAGCTTGAGCAATAATTATCCGCCATTTTCATTTCACTTATAAGTTTTTACAGAACCAAACAAAAACAACAACAAATGCGTAATCAACAAACGCTCTCGAACATTCTCTCTGCCTTCACCCAGGCTTCATTGATTCTACGAGCAGATGCAGAAGCATTCGGTTTCGAGCTCAACTTGCACTCATGTAGCAGGGGCAATTTTTTTGCTAGTGTGTAAGCTCCATAGTGAAGTAAATACACAAATGTTGTACATCAAATGTCAAAAGATTGAAATGTACAAGAGATTGAGCGCTTTCAGATTACATCATAACCTTTGAAAATAATCAGCAAAAAATCAAAGAACCGTGAGCCTAAAAAAACGGCGGATAATTATTGCTCAACCTAATAATTCCTCCGCCCTCTAAGCGTCAGAAGATTCGCCTATTCGAATAAACAATATTTGTCATTTTTTCCCTAGTCGCTTATCCGCCCGAATCGTTAATACCAAGCACCTCCTAAGACCTCAATCATAGCTCACGATTTGAGCACTTTAGCATGTTGAGGCGAACATATTAGCGACGACTGAAGGATCGCTGACACATTACATAGACGAACGGTCACAGTCGGGACCAATCCAATCATGTACACCTACTCCAAACAGCAGAACCTTCGAAACGCCTACAGACAATATTAGTGACAAAATTAAGTTTATGAAGGGAGAGACGATTAGAGGAAGGCAAAGGTAGACGATATGCGAAGCTTTTGCGGAATGAGCGTTCCAGCAACGAGTTATAAAGTGCCAGTGTCCAGGCATACCGTACTCCAGACTCGTTGCGTGATCTTCTCAAGAACGCCTTTCATACCAAGCTGCCCTACTTTTAAATTTTACTAATTTCAGCTCATCTGCGTGGTTCGAACACATAATCATGACAATAACATGAAATAACTACTACTAATCGGATGATTACAGAGTTGTTGCAACGGCCACCAAAGCGTCAAAAGCCGTAGTTAACTGCTACAAAGTTGAAATCAGCAAGGTAGAGGAGGGCATGGTTCCTCGGCTTTTGGTCATTCTGCTTATTATCGCTACACAGA